GGCAGGAAACACAGCTGGCAGGTACCATTTACAAGGTTCAAATAATGCAYTTCCCTCTTCCTCCCTCATGCAGTATTTTCATTTTGAAGTGAAATGCAAAGACTGGGTATCCACAGCCTGATGTGTGAACACAACACAGACATGAATCGAAAACATTTTACCTTTTGTTTTCATGGTCCTGAAAAAATGAAACACTCCATATCAGCCATTTGTCTACATTAATGTTTTATCTTTTTCCTATTACRTGATTTTAAAGGAAAAGACTAGTAAAGACTGCCCGAATAAGAGAAATACGGATCCTAATCTCACTGCAGCAAAGCTGACAGCCCAAAGCCCCTGCACGTGACTCCCCARAGGAGGGCAGGGACCCTCATGCAGGGACTTCAGCTCCACATGTGGGGTGCTCCCCTCTGTGCAGAGCAGTTATGGAGAAAGAGCCACACGAGAGGTGCCTGCGATTCACCCTGACCCCACGAAACTCCCGTTGCAAAGGACAGCACACTAAGCTCCATATCTGCCACAACTTTGTGCTTGAGAAAGGCAAAACCCTGATGGGTGCAGGCCTGAATCCCTGCTGTCCCACAGCAAATTTCTGTRTCTCCTACTCAAGAAGGAATCTCCTACCAGCAACGTGAATAAAGAGGCTTGCACAGGCAGGAAAGGAGAGCGTGGCCTGCAGCGCACTGAATTACACTAGTTCTCAATAAATGTACTCCCTCTAACTGCACTGGGGTGTCAAACTATGCGGAGACCTGTACCACGTCTCTGCGAACATACTTGCTGAGCATGGTAAATTTTAATCTACTCTGATAYTTTCTGTATGTAATAATATGGGAAGAAAACAGTTATTATTTTCCSATCTGACTGCATTTTAGATAAATACTGAAACCCAAGAATACTCAGAAGAATGAGTAATAGTCACCAACAAGGAGGAGGAGAATAAACGTTATAAAACAGCATCTGGCATGCATGAAGCCAGTACAGGAATGAAGTATCCATAATGGCTAGTTTAGCTTTCCTCCTTAAGGGAAAATGCTACTACGGTTATTTCCAAGTGCCCAAGAATCCTCCTGTGTAAGCGGTGCTGCACAGACCAACAGACGAATGGGTTTGTACTGCAGAGCTGCTGTGCTCACTCGGCGCTCTGGGGTGAAGGGAAGAGCCCCCCATGGCAGGTCACCCAGCTTGTCCCTGCTGTGCACAGCACTGGCAGCCCTGGCAAATCTCTGTGTCTTGTGGATGCTAGATTTGTGGTTCCTTGTGTGGCCAAATGCTGCTCCGGCTTTTGTAAACCTTGGGTCAGAGTGAAGGACAGCACAGGGACTCCTGCTAGAAAGGAAATTGGGGTATGAGGAAGGAAATCTTATTTTTTGACTGTGGTGCAGTCCAAGGAGTAACTCGCTTTGAAGCACAGAGCCAGTGGACACTCAGCCCTTTTCAGATCTTCCCATTTTCACTACTTCTTGCCACTGATCTGATCTGCCAGTATGAAAGGACTAASATTTCCTCCTCTCTCTGTCCTTTTTGCATGGATAAACTAGGGCCAGGTAAGTGGTTTGTAAGGAGGAGAATGCAGGTTGCCTCAGTGGCAGGTCTGCTTCCCTGCCACAACCATGGGGCTCTAATTATGGGCAAGCAAAGGGCGGAATCCAGATTGCTAAATATATTTGCAATAGTGCATGCAACACAGGAGATGCATATGCATGGCAATTGCAGCACTGGGCACCTGAGTGCAAACTTTGCACCTCAGAAGAATTCAGCAGGACTGCAGAAGTTGTTTAACAAGGCCAAATAAATCCAGCTTGGAAGCACCAAGAGCTGGGAAGAAGATGCAGGAATTAGGGTCATGTGAAAAGATGGCTGGGCAGACAAGAGAAACAGACAAATGTTTAGAAATATCCACAGGAAAGACACATAAAAGTAGTGCCAAAAACCTTATATAATACTGCCTGTAAATGTGATAGGCTGTGTCATTTGCCAAATCATTGTGAGGCAGAAAGCTTCTGAGTGGTCGTCAAGAATAAAATAAAATAAAAAATACCAGCATAAGGACAGAAACAACATGATGGGAAGAGCTGATAGAGAAAAGAAAAATGCTACAAGGACAAAACTCTTTTAGCAAACTAAGAAAGATATTGTTGAATTTCAAGACAGATAACTCCTGTCTAGGCCTGAAGAGATATGTGTAGATTTACCAGAAAGATGGATTAATCCAGTATGTTCGGTATGTTCAAAACTGCTGCTGCTCAGAACTTCTCAGCCAGCAGGATTCTGCTAAATGCTTTCCTTTTCTGTATACGTCCAAGTTCTCCACATGTCTTTGCCTTAGCTGCCCAGCTCACACCACAGGACATAATACTTGTATCTCACACTAACCTTTTTTCCTGTCTTTGGTCCCCAGGCACAGTGTAGGCGCAGTCTGCTCAAACAGAAAAGGTCATTGCGTGTTACTGAGTTCAACAGAGAAGCAGTAATTATATTCACCTATTAAAAAGAAAAAGCCTGGAAAACAGAAGGCAATCACATTCATTGCACTCACTGAAAACATAATTGTGAACTGCCGTTAGGAAACCACAGGAAAGAGCAAGCTAAACTGACACATGCAGTGCTGGAGTTGTAATTCAGACCTCACAATTTAGTTCTGAATTACATTAGATCAAAGGGAAACTGAATTAAAAAAAAATACCTGTCGGAAGATGCAAAATGGAATTCCACTTTTTAAGAGGTCTGGAAGGATTACACTGTCATGAAAACACAGGGAGCAAGGATAAAATGAAGGTTAAGTGCRTAGGGCTGGGGAATACCCTATAAACCAGATGGGTTTCTGTGGAKCTAGCAAGATGGAAAAACACTGAGCTTTATTCAGAGATTTTGTACCTMCACGTTTTCCCCAGGCCTGTATAATAACCATCTTGCATTTTGCCATCCCATTTAACAGACTTGTCGCTATTTATCTGTGTTTTGATTTTCTGATGGAAAGGATAATCTTATTCTCAAAAGTCTGTTCATCCATTATTTAAACTTYTATTTAGCCAAGGAAAAGGAACATCTCAAATATTTTTTCCATCGTTTCTGTTTGACAAGAGAGTAGCACAAAAGGAAAAGAAACAAAGTCCTAAATTCACAGAAAGATCAAACTCCTTCCTGATATAACCACAATGAGCTAATTTAATTTAGCCCAGATATGTGTTTAGTCCTTGCWCTTTGCTCTGAGGAACACACAATCAGTAAATGCTACGTTTCAGGAATTGCAAGCATCTGTCTTTATGGCAGGATTTCAGATGGAGATTTAAGCCTGGAGCAGAGTTTGATTTTTTGCTTTGTTTGCTTCCTTTTTCTTGCATGGCCTGGAGATTGGACGTCTTCAGGGAGCCATCCTGCTCCTTTCTAAATCAAGAGGTAGTCTGGGTTTGGGTTCAGGGAGAGTAAGCGCAGCCCACACAAGCAGTGTACCCAACGCATGTGAGGTTTGGATTATACAAGCACTGGGGTTTTTWATYAAAAAAAAAAAAMAAAAMWSTTTTGTAGAAACAAAAGAAACTGAAGTATGTTATTTTTAAACTCCAGTTGTTTGCAAGCTGGATAAAGAGCCTCTGGCACTACCTAAATTCCCCCATAGCAGCTGTATTCAACAATTTAATCTAAAGTAAACCTGCTCCTGCGGCTTTTCATTGACTTCGYTATTTGACACTGACCAAAATGTGGCAAAAGTTACAAAAATTGCTCAGTGTCATGGTGCTCTGCTGCGTCCCTGGAGGGCCCTAAAGAAACCAGCTGTGCTCCGGGGTGCCAAGCGCTGTCCTGCTCCCGGGCTCCGCTGGCACAAGCTCCCATCCGGGACACCCTCCCGGCCTCTTGGGGCTGTTAAACTTGCTTTTCCAGCTGCCCCTCAACCCTTTCCTAACACACCTGCGTGAAACTGTGGATAGCGAGTGGCACAAACGAACGGGTGGTTTCCCCTTCCCTATGATCCTCTGGTTAAGAGGGGCACTAAATTCTTTAAGAAACCTGGAAGGAAGTTGGTGGGTTCAGGGAAAGGCAGGCTGAGCGGGACAAGCAGGGAGGCTGAACCCTCCTGCGGGCTCTGCCTGTGAGCCAGGATTAGGCAGTCCTGGCTCTGYGCAAATTGCATCCCAGGCCACATCCCAGCCACATCCTTGCGAGCGGTTGTAAGTTTTGGAAAGATTTAGAGCCCACATTAAGGAATTTACGGCAACAGTCCAGAGCGCTTCTAATGACTCGGATTCAATTAGTCATCCAAGTTGTTTCTTTTTAAACAAGACTCCGCGTAACACACTGATTTTGGGATGACAGCGCAGGGACAGGGCTGGARATAGCAGGGCTTCTCCCGGACCCCACGAGCCCTTCCCGGGCAAGCGGAAGGCTCCAAGGCTCTCTCCCCGCGCCGTTTTTCCCCTCGTGGCTCGGCCCTTGGCGGCTCCCCGGCAAAGCCACCCTGCCGGCCCGGGCTCCGCGCTCCGGGCTCCGCGCTCCGGGCTCCGGCGGGCTCCGGGCTGCTTGCGGCGGGCCCCGGGGCTCAGCGCCTCGCTCAGCTCGGGGCTGCCCGGCCGGGCGGCTCCCCGGCGGCGCCGTCCCCGCCTCGCCTCGGGGCAGCGGAGCAGAGCGGCGGACGCCGCGCTCCGCCCGCCCGCTTCGCTTCGCCGCCCTCCACCTGCCCGAGAAGCGCCGCCCGTCACGTCATTATTCCCCCTACCCCACCCCGCCAACGGCCGGCGAGGGCGGGGACAGCGCCTCAGTGGCCGGGCGCGCCGAGCGCGAGCTTCTCTTTGGCCAGCGCGGCTGCCAGTCAAGCGTGGCGGGCCCGCCCCTCGGCGCCTCTCGCGCGCGGCTCCTGGAAGCCGGGGCGAGCCGAGCAGAGGCGCCGCTCCGCGCGCCCGCCCGCGCCGTAGGTAGCGCCCATCTCGATGGTCGCCGCCGCCGCGCGGCTGCTGCTCCCGCCGGCCGGGGGACCCGCTGCCGGGGCCGTGGCGGGCGCGCCGGAGCTGTAGCCGCAGCCGCAGCCCGGCGGCAGGTGAGGGGCTCAGGTGGGCGGCGGGGCGCGGCGCCGCGCCACGGGGAGGGGCGCCGCGGTGCCGGCGGCGGTTGCGGCCGTTGGCGGCCGTTGGCGGCGGGCGCACGGCGGCCGGGAGAGGCGTCGTTACTGCCCGCCAGAAACGTGCCGCGGCGCCGGCACCGCGGTGGAGCCCCTCGTCTCCCGCCGCCGCTCTGCGGGCTCCACGGCCAACTTGGGAGCCGTGCCCCGCGGGCCGCGCCTCGCTGCTCGCCTCGCCTTGCGGCCCCCGAGCGGAGCTAACTCGCCGTTAGCTGCTAAACCGGGCATCTGCTCCCGAAACTAATCCCGCCTCGGCTTGGAGTGCCGCGCTCCAGCGGCGGCTTTCCCGGGCGGGGGGGTCCCCTCGCGGCGGGCTCGGGAAGGCGTCGCGGGCAGGCGGCGGGTCCCGAGYGTAACTTCAGCAGCGCTCAGAAAGGAGGTGCCGCGCGGGAACCCGCGGCGCTCCCTGCGAGGGTAAAGCAGAAACTGCCACCGTTACTTTTTGGTTTTCTTTTTTTTTTTCTTTTTTTCTTTTCTTTTTCCTGCCCACTTATCCAAGAAAATAGGTTAATGAAATCCATTCACTTCGGTACAGGATGATGTAACTTCAATTTGAGGACAAATTAAGCTACTTGCGCGTTTGAACACTTTGTTTTTAAAACTATTTTGTGCTTCAGACTGGCAGTTGCTGGTTTATTTTACTTGCAGGATATCTGAAATAGCTATAGAAAAAATGCTTATTACATTGCCTTACAAGGAAAAATAAGTTTATCTGTTTTACTACTTTCTTCGTAGGCCTGTTACGATTGTAACGGAGCTCTTCATTTTCTGCTTTCTTGAAAGGAGACACCAGCTGGTTGTTGCTTCATTCCTAGACTTTCATTGATTAATCAGAGAGTTCAGTGTGATGTTTTGCTCTACTCAATTTCAGCAGAGCTTGTCCAGTTTGGGCACTTTCTATAAAGCCTGGAGTAACCTTAACTACCTATTTGTTTATTATCCCTGGCTTTTTACAGGAGATGGAGCAAATGTATTGTAACTAATAACCTCCAGGGTGTGCTTTRATAGGTTAAGCTGAACATCCTTGTTGTATTTCTGAGCTCATTGACTAAACAATACAGTTCATAATTCTTACCTCTCCTTTTTTGCATTTTTTATTTTTTAAGTTTTGTTCTATTGCTCAGACCCCTCCTGTAGGCCCCGTTCTGCCCTCTTTTCTCATTTTGTGTGATATCCAGGTGTGTTCAGGGGAGCTTTGGAGGCCGGATTCGGTCGGGGCTGGCGTGTGGCAGCGCTGCGCGTGCGACTCCCGCATTTCCTCGGCCAGTGCCAGTGCAATGTGTTTCACACAACCCCCTATTTGTGCAGTAGCTGTGTGTGTTTCTGTGTATGTCATCTTATGGAATGTGGACGAGGTGAAAGCATGGCTGTTATCAGCAGATGCATGYCATTCTGTAACAGGCTTTCCTTCATCCTTGCATTCCATAGGTTTTGTTACATACCATAAAGAAAGTAAACTGAAAAAAAAGCTGTGTTGTTCTGGCAGTCTCATATTTATGGCTTGTGACTGTAAAGATCAGGTTTTACGGGCTATCAACAGTGTTCTTAGGGGAAAAAGTGTATGTTACCGTTTGCATACAAAGACTTTTCTTTCTAAATAATACATTTTTGACTTTAATTTATTAGTGTACATTTCAAAAAATGTAGAGGTGGGTGGCGCAACATTTGTAAAGATGGGGTTGTACAGTTATGAGGTGCTTCTGTGCTTAAGAATGAGCTTCGTATTTGTATCAGGACATACTCTGATCTTACTGAAGTCTGTGGTAAATTTCTCAATTTCAGTTACGTGAAGATTTAAGTCATAGCRAAAGTGGAGAGTTTTGCTGGCAAATGGCTTGGGTGGCTATGGCTGTGGTACACACCGTTCCTGGGCAGCTGAAACCTCCTTTCCTATAGTGAGCTTCTGATATAGGAAGCAGATACTCTGTGACCTAATAAATAGCTTCCCACGTCAGTGTTTGTGTGTTTCTGTTGCAGAACTTCACCAGCTTTGCTCTTTGTGGTGCTGGATTTGTGTCTGGCAATCTGCTTTTCCAGTTACCTACAAGAATGCTTTAGGAGATGTACATTCTTTTAGGAGATGGGCAGCTATCACTTGTGGTACAAATATGTGAATCTTTGAACATTGTGCCTAGAATCAAGCTGTTCTGTTAGTTTAGCTTCTTGTTGCTCTGAAGGATGAAGGGGTTTTGTGTTTGTGATGCTCTACCCTGTTGTGAGTGCTTGTCCTCTTCTGTTAACATAGAAACTAAAAGTAAGAGAAGGTGCTTGAAGCCTGATGCTTGAAGGTTGAATATCCGTAACTCCTACTGCCTTCACTCTGTTTTATAGCCTGCTGCTTGTATGCAATTTTTGATGTTCATGTATCATATGCTATAATAGAATCTGGTACTTCTAAACATACACTGAGTTTTGACTTAAATCAGCAATATTTTAGTTTTGAGGCTTTTTTTTAATGTGACTGTTTACTGTAGCATAATTGTACTAACCGTTTCATCTAGTTTCTGWTCATTTTTCCCATGTGGATTATTATGCTCAATCATAAGTTGAGCATAGTAATCATAAATCATACGTGTTGCGTCACGTACRGTTGCATTGGCTAAGAGTGCTGACGCAGGTTGAGAAACGCATCTGATCGGTGCGGTGCAGCCCAGCCAGTCTGTGTGCTCCAACACCCCTGCCTCAGTGCAAGCTCCTTAGCCTGGCAGAATCACGTGTCAGGAAGCAGCAATAAGCACTGCAAGTGCTTAAGCCATTCTTAGTCTCTGGGTGCTCTGTGATACTAATCACAAAAGTAAAGAAGAGYTGAGTTGAGCCACTTCTGAGAGAAGGTGCTGAGCAGTTTTTGCAATGCCTGTTTGCTACTGATTCTTTGGTTATAAARCAATCATAGTTGTGGTCCCTATGTTTTTCAGGGGAAAAACGTTGATGAAGTGACTTGATGAAAAAATACTAATGAACAAGAAATCTTGGTATGTACAACAGGAGGGAGGAAGAAGAGTGAGAACTGACTTTCAGTGACCTCTCGGCCCTGATCAGAAGTGGTACATTTTGAGCTSTGGTGAGGTTTCTGGCTCTCAGAGGATTCTCTAAACTCATTAATGTATTATTCCTTAAGGGAGCCCAACACAGACAGCGGCTGCCTAATAGCATCGAGTAACTCTCAGAAGGGAGGCTGCAGACAAAACTCTTCTTTCTGGGACTCTGGGCTTTTTCATTTCTGTAACTGTTTAAAGCAAAGGTGAAATCCCTTTCTTTGCAGTAGTGGTACTGCTCAACAGCCAAGCCCTGTTCCTTACCTGTGACTGAGAGGTATATGTTTATATCCATCTTTGTCTCTATATTTCTAGTTTTCAAGTCCAGGTGTTCAAAGGCAAACATTTGAGCTGAAGATTCACTGTTTGGTCTTTAAGTTGTGGGTTTTTGGCTGAGTTGCATTTAGGTCAGCTACCATGTCAACAGTTGCTTATTTCCTTCTGGATGTTTTCTTTGGCACTTAGTGTTGACATTAGGTAAGCAAATAAAGATCCTTGTGTTCTTCTGCCTCGTAACATAATGCTTATATTGAGAATTAAGAAGAGCTTCTTTGGAATCATCTTTGCATAATATTTATTTCTTTTAGTGCTGAGAACTTCAGGTTCTGCTTGCGCGTTCGTTGAGCAGAAACCTGTAAGAACTACACGGCAAAGATATGGGTAATATCTAGTGCTACGACAGTCATGCAGCATCTGTGCTGTATCTAACAGCTTGCTTTAGAATGAAGACAGTAACAATGCAAAATGGAAAGAGTGAGAAATTAATGCTTGCTTGTATCAGCATTATTTTATAATTATTGTGTGTATCGTAATGATATGTGTCGAATTTAATGTTGAGTTGCAGTAGTGGTTTTTTATTGTCATTAGTAAAATCTGTGAAGCGTTGGGCCCTTCAGAGGTGTGGTATCTCCTTTGAAAGGTATTTTTAGAGCAGAAGTGGTGCGTGTTTCCCGCGTGAATGCAGTCCTACTCCTGCCTCCTCTTGGTTTCTGCCCTTCCAGTTACTATTGCTCACGATGATACTGCACGGATGTGATGTGAGTGTCATCTCTTACCTGTTGTGGCCATCATGTAGGTCACYTTGAAGTCACCTTTCCCTAATACTCTGACTTAACATGCTTATGCCACTTTCCCCTATTCTGAAGGCTTCTCCTGTTTGCAGCATACACATTGTTGCTGTTCTGACTTGAATTTGTGCAGTTAATTATTGTTTAGCTGCTGGTGAAACTGAGCAAAGCTCTTGATCCTAATAGTTTCACCAGAGCAACAACTGCATGAGTTGTTCAGTTTGCCCTCGGAGATTAACATCCCTCAGCTCAGGCAATAGCTAATGCTATAGACAAGACCAGCTCTTCAGAGTTTGTCAGTCACCAACAGAACTGTGTGTGCAGGAGGCTGTTCCCCCTCTGCACAAGCCCATCTGTGTCATTCTTAATTTTGCTTGTTATAGTAAGTGAATTCTTGTCTTCAGCTTTCTACATGAGCAGCACAGCATGCAGCTCCTTAGCACTACTTTCCCTGCCCTCCCTTCATCCTATCTTGCCAGTATTTGCTCATATTAAAAAATATATATATAGTATATGTATACACATCTTCCTTTCCTCAAAATTAATTGTCTACAAGAATACCTTTGAAAAGGGAGAGAAAATCTTAATTTTAGCTCTCCTTAGTTCTTTTAGTTCTCCTTAGTTCTCCACATGGAATGTGCAATTTTTATTTTTTGGGAGACCCTTTCTCATCTGTCCCTCATGGCAAGGGCTGCCCTTGAAGCTGATGCTTCCTCAGCAAGTCCCCTTATCCAAAGGCTTCTGCCACTGCTGCAGACAGTGCAGCCTAGGAGCAACGTCTACCCCAGAACAGGATCCAGAACGTGTTTTGTTTGTA